AATGCATCCCGCTACCAGGTGCTCCTGGGAGCCACGCAGCTCTCGAACCCGGGCCCCCAGGCCTGTTATATAAGGGTGGCGCAGGTGGTCACGAACCCGCTCTACGCCGACGAGGCCTCCAGTGGTGACGTGGCCCTGCTGCACCTGGCCAAGGCTGTGACCTTCACCCGCTACATCAGCCCCATCTGCCTCCCGGGCACCGGGGTCCGCTTTCCCCCAGGGCTGAACTGCTGGGTCACCGGTTGGGGCAACCTCCGCTGCTGTGGTAGGTGCCCAGTGCGGGGTGGGCAAACTGGGGGTGGGTGGGGCCTGGAGGAAGGGGCGGATCTACAGGTGAGATGGGCGTGGCCTGAGGGAGATGGGCCTGGCCAGGGAGGGATGTGCGGCCACAGTGTGGGTGGGTGAGGCACAGAGGAAGGGGTGTGGCTAGAGATAAGGGATAGGGCGGGGTCATGGCTCCACTACCTGGGGGAGTGGCCTAGAGGCAGAGGGCTAGGGGTGGGGCATGGCCTGGGGGGCAGAAGTGTTCTTGTGGGCATGGCCGGGCCTAGACTAGATGGCAGCACCTTCAGGGTGGGGCCTGGGAATGAGGGGCGGGGCCACAGCAGGGATGGGCGTGGATTTGGACAGGGCCTGGCAGGTTGGACACAGGCAGGGACGGCCAAGGAAGGGGGTGTGGCTTAAGCAGCAGAGAGGGGAGGGCCTGGGGCAGTGGGGAAGGCCCAGAAGGCCCCTCCCCCAACCCCATCCCTCCCCTGCAGAGGAGGTGCCAGCCCCACACGCCCTGCAGAAGCTGGCTGTGCCCATCATCGACACCGGGAACTGCAGCGCCATGTATGCGACGGACGCCGGCAACAGGCTTCGGCCCCGCCACATTCAGGATGACATGCTCTGCGCTGGCTACGCTGAGGGCAAGAAGGACGCGTGCAAGGTGCCAGCCTGGGAGCCCGGGCCTCCCTGCTCTCAGCCCCCTCCCGCCCCCTGCCAGTGCCAGGCATCTGGGCTCCCGGCCCCCCTTGCTCCGACTCACCTCCTCTCCCCAGTCCCCGGGCATCCGGGGCAGGCGGGGCTCGCTCACTTGCTCCATGTCCTTCCCGCAGGGCGATTCGGGGGGCCCCCTGGTGTGCCCGCTGGGCTCGCAGTGGGCCCTGGCTGGGATCGTGAGCTGGGGCGAGGGCTGCGGCGTCCGCAACCGCCCAGGGGTCTACACCCGCCTGACAGCCTACCGGGACTGGATCCGCCGCCACATCCCCAAGCTGCACTTCATGGGGGAGCCCGGCCCCGCAAGGGGCTGGGGCAGAAGGAGCTCCTGAGCACCCCCGGGACCAGCCAGGCATCAGGGCCACTTTCCCCAGCCCTGGCATAGACGCAGCTGGAGGGAGGCCACGTCGTCCTTCCTCCGCCGTCTGGAGGACCCGGGATGTCCTGTTCACCGGGTCGTTCTTCTCTCCTCTGCCCCTTGCCCGAAGGACCCAGGCATGCAGGCCCCCAGGCCCTGGCGCTCTCGCCCACCGGCCCCCACTCCCCTCCCGGAGAAGCCAGGCATCCGGAGCTCATCGAGTTTGGCCAACGCTTGGCGGGGAGGACGTTCCCTTTCGGAGAGTGAATGAAAACCAGAAACATCCCGTAACACGACAATCTGCAGCCTTGAGTCGATCCCAGAAGCACATTTTGCCTTCAAGTTCCTTATAGGGCCATTAAATATCCATGAGCCAACGCTAAGACCCAGAACAGACTCCACAAGAGGCCTCTGGGGGCCCAAGATGATTGTCTTTAACGAGAGGCAAATGAGATGTGCGGATATGCTCCACAGTTGGCCACGACGAAGGCGTGAGACCTTCACAGGGTCTCCATCCCCCATAGATGCCAAATCACCGCATTTCCCTGCCAAAAAAAGATCTCTCGTCGGCCACATTCACATCTCATCTGTCGTGGGACGCGCTCGGGAACCGGAAGAGGCGTTTGCCCTGGTTAACAAGTTAGCGGGCGGTAATGAGAATGCAACGATGTGACCCCAAAGAGCCGTATCCACCCCCTGAAAAGCCACTCAACCCCCTTGATCGAGGGAACGTGAGACGTGGTGATGACCCAGCTATGTCATCGGGAGAGAGGTTGCCCAAGATGGAGTCTCTCTCCCACTAGGAAGCCAACAAAACGGCCCCAAATCCAAAACAGCAGTTCCTTACCCCGGAGCTGTCGTCGCCTGTTGGCTTTCCATACACCTGCTCAGACATTGGTTGGCATCAAACAGATACCAGTAGAGTCCCTCTCCAAGCCCACTGAAATGCCTTAAAACCACGGAGTTTCTCCCCCAAAATGAGCGTGCTGCCATATCAAGAGCCATCTTCACGTCTTGGGTACCACACACCTTCTCAGACATTGGCCAACATCAAAGAGATGTCAGTAGCCACTCTCCAAACCCAATGAAATGCCCCCAAACCACAGCATTTCTCCCCCCAAAAACACACACGACTTCATGATCAAGAGGCATCGCCATGTCTTGGCTTCCCATACCCCTGCTCAGACACTGGTTGGCATCAAAGGGGGGTGAGCAGAGTCTCTCTCTGAACCCAATGAAGTGCCCTAAAACCACAGAGCTTCTCCCCAAAACGAGAGCTCCTTCACGTCAAGACCCCCCTTCACCTCCAGCCCAATGCAGTGCCCCAAAACCACCACGTTTCTCCCCAAAAACACACGACGTCATGATCAAGAGGTGTTGTCATGTCGTGGCTTTCCATACACCTGCTCACGCTGGGCGTCACCAGTTGCGTCCCTCCAGCTCTGGACCCACCGCAAGGCCCCGACGCCACGGAAAGACGCGGGGCCTCTCCATCACCAGTCACCTTCCCGTCTCCCCTGCTCCGGGAGGCCCCGCCGTGGTGGGGGGCGGCCGTTCAGGGCCGGCTGGCCCTCCGTGCCTGGGAAGCGGGAGGCCGAGACCAGACGACGTGAGACGGGTTGTTTTGGCCCGCGGTGGGGAACGTGAGGCGGCGGCAGGCCAAGCTCCTGGCGTGCTGGGGCCGCCCAGACGCCATCTGGTTCGTGTTAGGGGGATGTTTACAGGGCGGTTGACGAGCCAAAGCCTCGTTAGGGCCTGGAGAGGCGGCCAAGTCCCTCCACGCACCACTGCACCCCCACCCGGCACCCCATGGCCGTGGAAGGGGGTGGGGGAGGGAATGAATCACAGATGGAGATGCCCAGGGGCAACAGGAGGGGGTTAGGGGTCCTTGATGGGGTGGTTTAAGGTGGGTCGATGGCACTGATGCATCGCAGACACGTAGATGGGACCCAGGCATCAGGCATGCGCGCGCGCACACACACACACACACACACACACACACACAGAGCGAACCCAGGCGTCTGGGACAGACGCACACTGAACCTAGATGTCCGGGACACGGACACACGTGTGCACACCCATGCCTGTGTATACAGAACCCAGGTCTCCAGGACACGCACATTGAACCCAGGTGTCCAGGACACACACACACACACTCACCCGTGTGCACACCCACACCCGTGTATATAGAACCCAGGCATCTGGGATACACACATACCCAGGACTGAGGTGTCTGGGACACATAAGCACACATGCACAAACACATGTGCACACATGCATATACACCCAGAGCCCCAGTATCCAGGACACACATATGTACACACACACATACACAGAACCCGGGCATGTGGAACACACACACAGTCTCTCTCTCTCTCTCTCTCTCTCTCTTGCACATACACACATGTTTTCACACCCATGCCCACATGGGACACACACATACCCAGAAGTCCAGGACACGCATGCGTGCGCACAGACACACACACACACACACACACATGCATGCACACACACACACACCCAGAACCCAGGTGCCCTGGACAAAGAAACACACACAAAAACCCAGGTCTCTGGGGGACACACAAGCAGATGTGTGCGTATGTGCGCGCGCGCACACACGCACACACACACACACACACAGAACCCAGGCGTCCAACACACACACGCACACACACACACACATGCATGCACACACACACATACCCAGAACCCAGGTGCCCTGGACAAAGAAACACACACAAAAACCCAGGTCTCTGGGGGACACACAAGCAGATGTGTGCGTATGTGCGCGCACACACACACACACACACAGAACCCAGGCGTCCAACACACACACACACACACACACACACACACACACTGTAGATCCCAGGTGTCTGGGACACACACACACACCCGTCCAGGACACACAGGACCCAGGCGTCTGACCCCTGCTCCCCCCAGCCCTGGAGCCCGCCCAGCAGAGGGGAACTGAGGCTGCGCTGGCCCAGCCCGGCCCCCGCTGCCCCCCCTCCCCGCATCTGTCGGGAGGCCCCCCTGGGGGGGGGGGGGGGGGGGGGGGGGGCCAGGCAGGCATCCTGCTCCTGTTGCCTTAACCCTTGCACTGCCACCCTGGACAACCCAGGCGTCCGGCTCCCAGCCCCCTGCTCCCACCCCAGGGAACCCACTCGTCCGTGTGTGTGTGCGTGTGTGTGTGCACACGTGCATGTGTGCATCTAGTTGGCCGCACAATCTTGGGTTGCGATTGCAGGACGCCTGGGTCGCGCACGTGTGTGTGTGTGTGTGTGTCTCTAGTTGGCCACACTTGGCTTGTGATTTCATGCACATTACAGGCACCCCTTGGCTGTTGTGTCCCACACACGCGCGCACATGCACAACTCAGGCATCCGACATACAAACACACACCAGAGATGGAAAACTGCATCCAGGACACACACACACACACACACAAAACTGCACGCAGGACACATGCAAACACACACACAAACACACGCAAAACCTGGGAGTTATACACACACACGCTTCCCTTTGCACACCCACATATGCAGAACCCAGGTGTCTGGGACAGACCCACGCGCAGAACCCAGGTGTCGCACACGCACACACACATGCACACACACCCCCCCATGTAAGCCGATCCCGGCTGGCTGCAGGGAGGCGGGGGCTGACCCGGCGGCTGGAGGGGGAGGAG